TATTTCAAGAGGATAATCCCATTAGTTAAAACAAATCTTCCTGAGAGTCCTCAAAATAATAATAACATGTTTATAAAGTATATACAATATTATAATGACAATATTATATTGATATATACACAATATACAATTGTATATAGATATTAAAGAAAAAGCATATAAGTTTGCACAATTTATGAGAAATTTGCAACATTTTGTTTTAAAAGATACAAGTGTATTAATCATCTTTATTTCTTGTGGTAAACTGTTCCATATTTGAGAACCAGAATATGTAAATGTTTTCTTCAAAAACTTAGTTTTTGGCTTCGGAAAATTTAATAGTTTTTCATCAGCTGAACGTAAATTATAATTTTGATTATCAGTAAAATGAAAGTTTTCTTGTAAATAGTTAGGAACCATATTCTTCAATGATTTAAATACAAGTATTGCCTTTTGATATTGAATTCGTCTTTCCACATTTAACCAGTTTAAACTATTAAACCATAAACTGGAGGATGTCATTATGTCAGCTTCTACTATAACCCTTGCAGATTTCTTTAATAACTTATTAAGTTTATTGATCCCACTTTCATAACAACTACCCCATATACTTCAACAATAATCAAACAATGGCAGAATATAAGCATTGAAATAAATAATACTGTAATGATATATCGTATAGTAAGCTATCAATTAAAAGCAATTAAAACAATATAAAACAATTGAAAATTAAATGAAATCTAAACGGTACGGCCAGTATATGCGTAAACAATAACCTAAGAGCAAACAAGAATGAAAAACCGACGACAACTACTGAATTACGGGCTCTTGACTTGGGACAGGAACATATAAAATGAGGCGGTTTAAACATGTCTGTTAGCGCTTAACTTGGACAGTGGTGTAACAATCGCCGATGTCGGATTTAGGACCATGACTGCTCAAAACTTCACTGATATAAAACATACATGTGCTTGTTTCTGATTGTTCCTACTATGAACATGGAAGTGTTATATTGACAATATAATACTTCCATGCTATGAATAATATCTTAATCAATTTTGTAATGATTAATGATTGCAATCATACTTGTAACATAAAACGTGTTTACGTCAGAATATTTGGACTGTCCATAAAAGTAGATATGTTGGATAGAAGTTTCTTTTTACAACATGCCTCATTCCGACCACTCACAGAATTTTGCCAGAAGAGTTCTAAAGCGCAAAAGAGCGTTTAACTTTATTTAGAAGAAGAATCAGATTAATTTTACCATGCTTTACGTGGTTGCATATTTACACATTTTGCACGGTATTTCCGGGCATCGCCTAGACATGCGTTATAATTAGATATAGGAAGATGTGGTATGAGTGCCAATGAGACACCTCTCCATCCAAATCACAATTTATAAAAGTAAACCATTATAGGTCAAGGTACGGCCTTCAACACGGAGCATTGGCTCACACCGAACAGCAAGCTATAAAGGGCCCCAAAAAATTACTAGTGTAAAACCATTCAAACGGAAAAACCAACGGTCTAATCTATATAAAAACGAGAAACGAGAAACACGTATGAACTACATAAACAGACGACAACTACTGTAATCAGATTTCTTTATAAACACGAAAACAGGCTAGGTTCATCCTAGTCTTACCTATCCGTATAAGCAAACTATAGTACTGAAATGTTAACCTCTTCGACAGGATACCCTATTGGGTTTTTAAATATTTAGAACTAAATCTTATAGTCTATCTTCATTATTGTACTGAAATCTTAGTAGCATGCTCTCTGCAAATGTGAAAGGTGGTGTACTCAATCCCCGACAGTATCAAACAAAAGACTTGAAAATAGTGTGGCAGTCGAATCACAAAGCATGGTACATACTTATATTGTGTATACTGATCAGAATATGAATTTACTGTATATTTGACACTGGAATTGAAAAAGCCGTCGATCCTTCCTGAACGTATAAAAGGTGTTAATCTAAAAACAAATATATATAGATCGCTTAATTCTCTTATAGAGCCTTAAAAAAAATCAACAAAAAAACATCGTCCCCCCCCTCCTTAAATTTTACAGTAGATGACTGAAGAACAACATATCAGATTGATGTGGTCTTACTGTTGCTGTTTAATCTTTTTCAAGCTTCAATCTTTAACACGGGCATCGTACCCATCTTTACGCACCTAGTTTAGATTGCTATCAAAACGAAAGAAGAATACGTGGGAAATTAAAAAAAGTATAGTCCTTTAAAGAACTTTTAAAACCTTGATCCGTTTGGATTTCCTAGCTTAAAAAGTTAAAGTGTTGTCGAATATGCTAGATGTGTATCTATTTTACCCATCAACGAATCTTTGAATCCTGCATGACTGTGCATGTTTGTGTCATGTAAGATTAAGTGTGTGTGCAATGTGTTTCAGGAATAACTATTGACTTGAGCATGCGAAGCATCCGCTTCTATTTGAATATCATATGAGAAAGGCGAGCTGTAAATGTTATCGTAATATCGTTTTTTGTTTGGTAAATGAAAACTAGACAAGCTTGCACAAATATTTGAAAATTTAAGTAGTCAGTTTATAACAATTTTAACCGATGACGAAAACACAATTCCCCTCCCAATATTACATTTTGACGTTTAGCACTTCTCCGTATATTCTCTACACTCAGATTGTCTAATACCACAGAATTTAATAGTCTGGCTAAAATTAGTTCAAGATGTTATTGTATGAAAAATTTCTAACCTTCAAACCTAAAATCTATTTCTTTTTGATTTAATGTCACACGAACACAAAGGTAGAAACCGATAACTTTTTAAGAGTACCAATATCATGAACAATTAAGATTGACAAATAAATTACACCAACTCCTTTAAAATCAAGTCAAAAAGGTTAAGAATTAGGACTTTATTTGGACAGGTAACTTCAATACGAATAATGCGACATTGATACTTCGACATTGAGATCAAAATTAAAGATAATATACATTTTGTACCAGTCATGATGACAGGCCCCACATTATCGTATGTACATAAGTCTTCTTCAAAAGAAAAGAGTTTTTTTACAAGAGTACTTCCACACAGGAAGAATGGCACACATAATATGTCAACCTTATTTGAAAGGGCGGTTATAAATGAAAGTCTTTTACCTGAAATATCCTATACAAATTTTGTTGCTTTTGATTAAGTTCTAGTTAACTCTAGATTATTTTCTTGTATAACCACATCGGTAGTTTCACGGTAGCGTGTATTTTCCCCAAGTACAGGCCTAGAGGTCGTGGGTTTGTCTAAATCCAAAAAAAAACCAAAGACTTTACAAATGGTATTAATTTTGTAGTTATCAGCAGTATAAGAGCAAAGACTAAGCCTTGTCAAAATATTAAACAATGAGTTCTTTTTCGGACTGTTAACGGAGTCATCATTTTAAAATATCAACTCAGTGTATCGGTCTTCATAAATCAGAGTATATTCTGAGACATTTCGCATTAACATTAACGTGTACTGTTTATCGATTGTTGATGTTACGCAGCTATCAAAAAATCTCTTAATCAATTTTCTCTATTAATATGTATAAAAAATAATAAAGTTTTTCTTTGTTTATGTGGGAACGACCTTTTGATATTCTGGGAGGGGGACTATTTAATGAATCTTCTGAAAAAAGACAATTTTAGATAAATAAGCCGGCTAAGCAAAAGGGGAAAATTGATATTCTCTACCCGAAAATCATATACTGTCCCCTCTCCTCAAACAATTTCATGGTCGTCCCCTTAACAGTACGTAGAAAATGATATTGATGGTCAAAATTCCCTAAACTATTAATTTTACTCCAGTTGTAAGAATACATTTCCGCCGTCCCTATGAATGACTAATAGATCGTTTCGTCGTTCAGTGGCAAATATTACAGATATATCAAAGACGAACCACATTCAACAAATGCTATCCATTTTAAAGAGTTTCAACCTTGATATAGAATATTCATTTATCATAAGTAAACTGGAACTGTCGATATGTGTAGGGAACTAGATTGCCGAGTGGTCTACGTAGTACTTAAATGGCCACTAGCATGTCAAAACTGAAGCTGTGACTTTGGTTCTTTCTTCGGCAAAATGGGTTTTGCTTAAATCTTTTAAAATAGACAGGCGGGTCTCGTTTTCCTGTCGAATGCCGGTGGTTTTCTCTGGCTTTCTATACTGGCATGGAAAGCCAAGTATAATGAAAGTGGCGTTAAAACCAGCAAACAACTAATTATTGATCGATATTTTGACCTTGCTGAAGTGCGTTAACTCGTCTGTAGACATTGATAATCGATTTATAATTAGACAACTTGCAGTTTTTAAGTTTTTTATTCACATAAGTTTGAGTTCAATACAACTTGAAAAACAATAACTCGTCATACATTTACGAATCTTTTCCCTTACCGGTAAAATGATTTTATCTCAGTTTGTAATATTCTAAAAGTCAAGTGTTATTTATGTAATATTCTAAAAGTCAAGCTTGATTTATGTAATATTCTATAAGTCAAGTTTGATTTATGTAATATTCTAAAAGTCAAGTTTGATTTATTGAATATACATGAAGTCATACTTTATTTAAGGAATGAACACGAAGTCATGTAAAACGTTTGCCTTATGGAATATAAATGAAGTCATATTTTTGCTTTACGTAATATATTTAAAGTCATATTTGTTTTATAGAATACACATGCCGTCATGTTTGCATTGTAGAATGTAACCGAAGTCATATTTTCTGGATGGGATGAACTTGAAGTTAAATTTGCTTTTTGAAATATACAGCAATTCATGTTTACTTTATTGAATATACGTGAAGTCATATTTACTTTATAAAATATATCTGATGTCATGTATGCGTTATTCAATATTCATGTAGTCATATTAACTTTATGTCTTATTCCTGTAGTCATATGTGCTTTGTGGAATATTTCAGTAGTCATATATGCGTTATGGAATACTCCTGTAGTCATATTTGCTTTATGAAATATACTTGAAGTCATATTTGCTACCTTACGTTTTAGAGTAGTCAGCTCATACAGTAAAAGAATTAGAGTTCTGCCTGCGCTGACTGACCCATTATCTTCTAGTAGTTTTTTTGCCACATATCATCCTTATCCAGATGATGTAGGAATCATATCAGCAGTAAGTATAAATTAAAAAATGAAACCAACATATGAATTTCATGCGTGCGAAGCGATGATTAAATTTTAAATTTGATGACCAGGCATTTTTTCACCCTTTCTTTCTTGCCATGGTAATCTAATCAAACTAGAAAATATAAATGGTCCCCACTCAACTAGTAATAAGATTATTAGAAATAGGATAAAAAGCTGGTAGAAACTTGTAATAAGATTCTCAACTCTCAAACTCAACTAGTAATAAGATTATTAGAAATATGATTTAAAGCTGGTAAAAACTTGTGAGTAAGGAATTGATGTTCTGATATATTTTGTGTGCCTGAAACCGCTTTGTTTACATCTAACCTATCTTTATATAATTTTTTTAAATATATATTACTCAAAATGATGCTTATCAATTTTACTATGATATAAAATGTCTGCAGTGGTTATTTCATTTAAAATGAGGCAATAGGTCATAAAAGAGAATCAAGGTTCTTATGTATTTTGGCCTGAACTATGTGCTGCCACTCTTCAATTGAAATAAAAATAATAATTTGCAAGGTCAAGGCCAAAATATGTTTCTGAATTTGAAAAAAAGATATGAAACAAAGACAAAGTTAAAATCTGATATACATACTTTGTGGAATATGCATATGGCAATAACTGAATTGAAATAAGGGTATAAGATAAATACCTGGAGAAGGTAAATAATTTCGGAATGGCCAAGTGAGCTTTTCACATCACTTGCCGTTCATCTTCCGTCGTCCTTTGTTCGTCGTCGTCATCGTCCATTAACTTTTACTAAACTCTTCTTCTCCTAAATAAAGGCAACAGTAGTATACCGCTGTTCGAAATTCATAAATCGTTTGAGAAAAAAAAACAAATCCGGGTTACAAACTAAAACTGAGGGAAACTCATCAAATATAAGAGGAGAACTACGACACAACAGAAACACAACATTGAAATGTAACACACACAGAAACGAACTATAATATAACAATGGCCATTTTCCTGACTTGGTACAGGACATTTTAAGAAAAAAATGGTGGGTTGAACCTGGTTTTGTGGCTAGCCAAACCTTGCACTTTTATGGCAATGTTAAATATAACACCAAAATGACACTATTACATGACATGAATACAGTACAACATTACGGACAGAGAATTATGCAAATAAACAATACAATATAGTACATCTGGACAACGAAACAACAGAAACACTGAAGTTAAAAACAACAAACGACAATGCAACACACACAGAAACAAACTATACGATAACAGTTGCCATTTTCCTGACTTGGTACAGGACATTTTTAAGAAAAAAATGGTGGGCTGAACCTGGTTTTGTGGCTAGCCAAACCTCCCGCTTTTATGGCAATGTTAAATATAACATTAAAATGACAACATTACATGACAGGACTACAATACAAATAAATGGGAGAACATATACTAGACCAAATTTAACGAAAGCTGCCCATAATCATTATTAAGGTATCTTGTTTTAAATATGTGTCCGATGACCCTGTCTGCCAATCAACATTGCTGACAAGGCTAGATATAGAACATTCTAGTACAATGCAAGTTTTGTTTTATTTTGAAAACCGTTATAAAAAATTAAAATCTGACAGGGAAGAATTTTTGAGAATAGTATGATCTGCCTGCTGTCTATGCATATCAAAACTGTCAGATGACTGCTTATAGAAGTTATTGCCCTTAAATGACGATTTTAACACACATTTTTCTTTCATTTTTATACGCCTGTTTACGGGACATATTATGGTATACCTTTGTCCGTTCATCCGTCCGTCTGTCCGTCCGTCTGTCCGTCGCGTCTGTCCGTCCGTCATCAACATGTGGGACAATAACTCAAAAACGCTTTAACCAATTTGCATGAAACTTGGTGAATTGTTTATATCTATTGACGTAAGCTCCCTTTTTCATTTTTTTAACTTAGATTTTGCGTTTCCGAGTAATGGGATTTTATTCATAAAAAGGGGGGATTTTCCAGTTTTCGGACAATAACTCAAAAGTACTTTGAGAAGTTTTCATGAAACTTTGGTGACTGGTTTATATCTATTAAAATAAGCTCCCTTTAGTTATTATATAAATTTCTGATATGACATTGAGGAGTTACAGAACTTTTTTTTTCGTTGAAAAAGCGACGGGCGTATCATGCGCTCATGGCGCAGCTCTTTGTTACACATTTTCTTACAAATTATAACGGATAGAGAGAAACGTTAAATAGCAATAAGGACCAGTTAGTCGACTCCTAATTATGACGATTTTTACCTTTTTTTCATGTTGGCCTCTTATCTTAAAAACTATAAAAGATATATGAACACTTAGAATAGCAAAAACGATCAGCAAGACAAGATCAACAAATAAGTCAAATATTGCCGAAATTTTTAGTAAACTCAATACAGGTTTGATTGCTTTTGAATGACGATGTGTTTACCCTTTTGTTTGTTTTGGTTTCTAACTAAAGAAGACTGGTAATTTTAAATAGAACACCTGTAATACTTGGAACAAGGCGTGGTTTCTTATGGGCACGTATGTTTGTTAAGAAATATTTCAGTACAACTTAAAAGTAAACAAATCCTGTTCTTATTGAGTCAGAGTTTTAATTCAAACTTTGTATTTGTTTTATTAGGTTGCTAGTCACCCAGTGGAACCATCAAGAAATGGATCATTTAATTGGACAGTACTGGGAATGAGATGTGTGCCACATTATGTAACATGGAATGCTGTCATAGAAAATAACACTGTTGTATTCAAAAATATAACATCCTTAGTAAATGTAGGGGAGCAACATATTTTCAGTATCTCCAGTCGTGTAAGTATGCAAAACTTTAAAATATTCGTCTAGAGCTAATTATCAGTAGGTATGTGCATCATTTATAAGATTGTCTCAGTTTTTCTTCTACTTTTAAATGAAAAGATAAATGGGATTACATATACCTTTCTTACTTCTGTTTAATCAGTTGTGTATTTTGTGTACTAAGCAATCTCCCCCTTAGCAGCTTTTTAGCTCATTACTTGGCGTCCGTCGTCCGTCGTCTGTTAACTTTTACAAATATCTTCTATCATGCCATCCTGCAGCTTTTCATTTTCAGTGTCATATAATTGTTTCAAAATCAATTGGCAATTTTTAGAGAAGGAAAATTGTATACTAACATGTGAACTTATTAAATGCCCCTAAAACAACCTTTTTATGTTAAGTTTTGGAGAAAAAGATCCATTGGTCCCAAGTCCAATATATATATATATATATATACGTCTTAACATGTGACAACTTTATGACAGACATTCTCCATCAGATAACTCGTGGTTAGACAGGCTAAACACCATAATTGAGACCCAATATAAAAATAAGGAGATGTGGTATGATTGTCAATGAGACAACTATCCACCAAAGTTCAAATGAAGTGGATGTTAGCAATTGTAGGCAACTGTACGACCTTCAACAATAAAACAAAAACCATTCCGTATAGTCGGCTATAAAAGGCCCCGACATGAAAAATATGAAAAATTCAATTGAGAAAACTAACGGCCTAATTTATAACAAAACAATTTACGAAAAAAACAAATATGACAGACATGAACCAACGACAACCACTGTTCACCAATTCACCACAATTTTAGTCGTCTAGGACCTGAACATTGCAGGTGGTGTTGCCACGATGTCACAGAAGCAAGGGTTCAAATCCTGCTGAGGGAAGAACACAAATTGACAGATCTTACATTGTTGGGCTAAATTTGAGACGAATTATATATATATATTATGTATATATGTTAGACTCAGATCGATGTCCGGTCTCTAATTGACGTCCGTTCCTCAAATCGACGTCCAATGTACAGACACGTTCTAAAACCTGTGTCCAATATTTGTACCCCCAATCGACGTCCAATATGACGCCGTGTATTACACTACCAAAACGATATCCTATCGATAGGAGTATCCGCTCATTGATCAACAAAATAGACAACATCCCGTCCCAAATAATCACCTAAATAAAAATAAAAGGACAAACACCAGTAATTGACAATAAGACAAGCACTGACGTCATATTACATGTACATGCATATAAATATTTTGGTGAAAGAAGTTAATCAACTCGATCTACCGGTTGTCTTATTCCTTTCATTTTCATTTAAATAAATGACATGTGGATATACGACAATGAGACAACAACCCAACGACAAATATAATAGAAAGACATCTAGGGAGCAATATACAGTCTCAAACAATTAACAGAATAAAGAAATACAGTCAATAGTTGAAAAGTATTAATATTTGGACTCTGCAAGATATAAAATCTTATCTTTTTAACAACTGTTTTAGTTTTAGGTTAAACCAAACCATTTGTTTTCGGAAAATACCTGTTTCAAATCAGAAATATGACAGTTGTTTTCATTCAAATTGTGACGTAATATTGTGGCAAGTCCGTAAAAGGGACGTCGATTGGAGAAGCCAAATATTGGACGTCGATTAGAGGGGCATAAAATAAGTCGTCGATTTGGAATCTTATTTCATTATAACGTCATATTTGGACGTCGATTTGAGAAACTGACGTCGATTAGAGACCGAACGTTGATCTGAGTCTTACATATATACTAAACATTAAATCTGCATCCACACAAGTATAAATATATAAAAAAAAATACTTTTAATTAATATAATTTTATATAAATAGGTAGATGGAATTTATGGAACCTATTTCCAGTCAGCAAAGATGTCAAGTACTGTCAAAAATATTTTCTTGGATTCCTTTGATGCCTTTGAAACTTATACATTTGATTTTATTGTGACAGAAGCCCGACCACTGAATGGACGAATTTATATAATATTTTCAACTCCAGAAGGAACAGAAACAAGGCTTCAAGTGAACATGCAATTCTCAATACGTAAACCACTGCTTGTATTCACACCTGCTACACTAAGAGAAAACATTGTACGTGGAACTCAGAAAATACTAGATGTTCAGGTTCACAATGATGGGGAAGTTGCTGCGACGAATGTCAAAGTATCTCTTCCAAATGATAACAGACTTTCCCTGGTTTCGTTTGCAACAATTGGCAGTCTAGACAGCAATGAAAACAATAATGGGATCACGATAGGTCCAAATGAAATAGCCATGATGTCTTTAGTTGTCACAACTGGTTTAAATGATGGATTGGGGGAGATGAGAGGTACCATAGTTTTGAACACAGATCTAACAGTAGCATCGATATCCTATAGATTTTATATCACATCAATAATAAAGCTGAATCTGACTATTACGATGAAAGATGAGTATACATACTTTGCATCTGGTGCACCACTGGTGAGTGGAGCTGAAGTTCGATTAATTAATCCGAGAAGACAATATTCAGAGAAAAGATTCACAACAAATGAGACAGGTTATTGATATATCTTATTTAGAAAATCAGTCATTTTGTTAGAATTGGTTAGGGAAAAACATATTAAATTGCATTGAGGTAGTTTTAAGAAATGTAAATACTTTTTAATGCTACTCCAAACTTCATGGGATTACTGTGTAATTACAATTTTAGTGAGTGCCAATTTTCTGATTGGTGAAAACATCGTTTCTTCGTGGGGTTTAACATTTCTGTTTTAAAGATTATCACATTCATAGTAATGGAAAGTATTATTTAAGTTTTGTACCTGAAATGATGATTGTAAATATGAAATTAGTATCATATGTTTATACCATTTCTTGCATCATTTAGATAACATCAGAAAATATATATGTTTCTTAATTTCTTGAATTCTCATATAAGGGCAATTACTCCAATATGGAGTTTTCTGTTAGTTTTGGTACAAATAGACAGTACGTAGATCTCAACATTTGGTCATTTCTGTTCATGTCCGATTATTTGTTATCTATAGCGGTTTTTATGATAATAGACAAAACTGGCACTTTACCCTATGCTTTATTTTTAAGCCATGTCGACCATTTTGGTTGGATGGCAGGATTCCTTAACATGTTTTGAAACTAAATACTCGAATAACGATTGTACCCAAGTTTAAATCAGTTGGCCCTTTTATTCAGCGGAGAAGATTTATGTAAAATTTGAAGGGCAACGACAGACGCTAATTGGTAATAATACCTCACTTGCCCCATCAATTTTGTAGTTTGCAGAAAGCTTTGAGCTTGATATTTTTATGAAATCATCAATTGTTTTGTTTTATAACCTATTTTTTAAAACCATTATCAGTAGCATAATCACAAAAAATTACCGGCACCTAAGAAAATTATAATTAATGTTAAAGTGATTATAAAATTTGAAATTCAACAATTTTTAAGCACGTCTAATGATAGTTCTTGCTAGCTTTTTTTTGTATATTTACACGTTTTAAACAATGTAATGTGCCAAACTGACAAGCTCTCGTTTGATTTTAACATTTTTGAAATAGGTTGTTCATACTTCTCATGTCTAGTAAATGTGCTAACATTAAATGATAAAAAATGGGTTATATCTTAAGAGCAATTTATCTAAGTTGATGTCATTAGTTTTGTCTATTTGCTGGCTAGTTTGGTATTTCTACTAATAAGTAAGAGTACTGATACAATACCAATATGAGTGCAACGGTCATGATTAATACACAATTACACTCAGTCGAGTTTTAATTGAAATCCCCTACTCTTTAATGTCAATCCCATTTGACCACATTACATAAGACCTGCATTACATAGTTGAACAGATACTTTAAATAAACAACTTAATACAAATTCTTGACCTCAATACTGTGTAAGATGGTCAATATATAGAAATGATAGGTTTGATTATCTGCATATAATTGATTTTGATTTATACCACCTAAAATTATTCTGTTAATTATTTGCTAAACATGAATTGGTTCTACGTTATATTATAATTCGTTTCTGTGTGTGTTACATTTTAATGTTGTGTTTCTGTTGTGTCGTAGTTCTCCTCTTATATTTGATGTGTTTCCCTCAGTTTTAGTTTGTAACCCGGATTTGTTTTTTTCTCAATCGATTTATGAATTTCGAACAGCGGTATACTACTGTTGCCTTTATTTAATCCTTATGTTGTCTGTTGTCATTGGATTCATGATTTATGATCTTTTCGGTAATCTTTTCTATCAGTTGTTTTTTAATAGAAATCCTGTTCCGAGCTCAAATTTACTTTTCGGGCTAAAATCATTAATCATTTTGAGGCGCTATAGTGGCAGGGTGGTCTAAATAGTTCAACTAATGTATCACAAGCCTATCAAGGCTGAAGATGTGAGTTTGAACCCCGCACGTTGCATGTGTATTCGACTCCAGTCTTAAATGACTGGGACTGCCCAAGGTCGGTGGTTGTCTCCAGGTACTCCTCCAATTAAAACTGACCGCCACTAAATAGCCAATTGTGGTTCTGAAAGTGGCATTAAACCCCATAAATCAATCAATTAATAATTTATCCCGAGTTTTGATAGCTGTTTTGAAATGTTAAACAGGAGTTTGTACAAAGAAAAAAATTAAATGGTCCCAATAGCTAAATCCGTAAGGGTGACAATTCAATCTCATATATTAAAAGGATGAACAGTTGCTATTTCTAAATAAAAAACAAACTCATCATAGATACCAGGTTTAACATTGTGTACGCCTGACGCGTGTTGCGTCTAAAAAAGACTCATCAGTGACACTCTAATCAAATAGTTAAAAAGACCAAATAAAGTACGAAGTTGAATAGCATTGAGGCCTAAAAAGTAAAATCACAAAAATACTGAAAATTTCCGGAAGATTTTGCCAAATTCAGCTAAGGTAATCTATTCCTTGGGAAGAAAGTCCTAAATATACCAAAATATTCTAAGTTTTGTAAACAGTTAATTTATGAATATGACCATATCAATGATATGATTGTAGATAAGAGAATTATCTACAAAAGTTTACTTAACTGTTGAAAATGATACATTTAAATAACAAGAATTTGCTCGAATACAATTTATCAAATTAAGAATCATTTTTACCCATAAATGTATATTGCTTTGAGTACTTGAAAAGAGGTCTTCCAACAACTGCTGCTACGAGTATAGGCAGGCATAAAAACATAATAACACAGGAACTATCAGCTTACATGAGTGTGTAAAGAAATAATGTAATGTAATGGTTGACACTGTGGATGTTCAGTTCAGTTTGGTGAATCACATCACCGACGATGCTTTAAAAGCTTTAAATGTTTTAAACAAAGTATTTGTTTTCTTTCACATAACCCTATAACAACTTTTAACTGCATCTCCTTTTTATTTATTCTTAGAATTGTATTTTTTTTAGTTACGGGGCTCTAATGGTTGATACAGTCGTGGTTTTGGTCATACTTCATTGATAAAATTTCTTTGGCGAATCCCCTGATCCATTACTTGTTATTTTTTTTTTTTAACCAGACATTCATCAACTTGTACTCAGGGCAGCGGTTTTTCCTATTACACCACTTTTAAAAGTTGAAGACGTCTGATTTTATGCAGAGGAGAATCTTGAAATCAATAATTTGATATTACTTTTTAGTTAAAACCTTCCTATGTATTTTCCGTAAAAAGCTATGAAATTTTTATCGATGTGATTATTTAAAATCATACAAAATATCATACAATCTGATATGGTATGTTTTATGTTGTAGGATTTGTAATATTTGAAGATATACACGAAGACCAGTATACTCTTTATGCACAAGCAGTGGGTCATAGTTCATATTCAGCTGTCATCATAGCATCATCTGACAGTGATAAACAGGAAGTTTTCTTGCAACGGATAGCTGTAAAATACACCTGGACAGTAACACCAACTACAGTCCAAGATAAATATGTCATCACATTGGAATCTACTTTTGAAACTCATGTAAGCTGATAGATCCTGTGTTAATATGTTTGTATGCCTGCCTATAATTGTAGGGGGCCATGGTGTCTGGTTCCTTTATGCCTCCGCCTTAATGATGTGATAGTGATGTTAAAATACAAGGTGTCCTTCCGTGTATCTGTGTATCAATGCGTCCGTCCATACTGTCTTGTAAAGGCATACCATTTTTGCATGATTGTTATGAAATTCATATCAAAGTTAATAATCATATTGAGAAATAGGCACAATTTGTATTACTTTGAGGTCACTGGCACATTCAGCTTGGTAAACCCTCGAAGTAATAGAAGGATAAGTTTTCAGATCAGGTGATATTTAAAAGTAATGAATCGATACATAGAGTTCTGTATGAAGTTTCATCATGCAATGCGTTGTTTTCTTTCCATATAAAATTTGAATTACTAGTATATTGTGATAAAGTTCATGCTATGCGTCTAATAACATATATTAAAGAATGACTTTATAAGTTTTAACCATGCATAAACAGTGATAACTTGTTTGCTATATTTGTAACCCTACAGGTCCCAATGCCAGTAGTTACAGTAGACCCTGCAAAGGTGAATACTATTCCATATGAATTGGGTGAAGAAGATACCCTCGAGTTTACTATTACTAATCACGGGTTGATCAGAGCCGATGATGTCAGATTTGCTTTGCCTTTAAACCATGCTTATCTCAATTTCAATATGGTAAGTAGTTATAAATAATTGAACTTAAAAGAATATATTCTGGAAAAGTAAAGTGAACATCTACAGATCCCCATTTGTCTTGCAATAAGCATTTTTGTCCCGCTTGCAACGAAAGAGTTCAATATTAAGTTTTCATAGTTTTGTCATTTTATCCGATACTATATAAGCAATAGGTCAACTGTATTTGGTGTATGAAATGATTGTAAGGTGTACATGTCTGTCTGATAGATTTCATATGACCTTGACCCCATTTTCATCGTGCATTGATCAATGTTTAGTTTTTGTGGTTTTGTTTGTTTCTCAGGTACTACAAACAATATGACCACTCTGTTTGGTGTATGGAACGATTATAAGGTGTATATGTCTGTCTGGCATGATTTATGTGACCTTGAACACATTTTCATGGATCATTGATAATGTTAATTTTATATGACATTTGTAGCAAAACCATTATTTAAACTCTTCAAAAATACCAAGATTAAAATTGTGTACGACAGACACGCGTTTCGTCTACAAATGACTGATCAGTGACGCTCGAATAATAAATGAAAGAAATAAAACGGCCAAATAAATTACAGACTTTCAACATCCATCCAATCCTAATTCAAGCATGCGAGACATTTCAGCGTTTGCACTCTTGTTTGAGTCTAACTATGTAACAAAATTAAAGCAAGATCAAATATAATTTGTACATAAGAAAGTTTCAATTGAGATGCCGCTCAAAAATGATAAAAAAAATTGATATTTTTATTTTACATTATGGACCACTTATTAACCCAGGTAGCCAAAATGACCCGTCTAAGCTTTTTCCACCCTGTAATTGCATCGTTCATGCCTTATCCATTATAAGCCATTTCTCATAAACTTATGGCAAATCTCTTACTTTGAAAGCACTAGAATTGAATCCTGTATGGTATAGAACCACTAATCCAGGCCCGGTCGGAAAGAACATACAAGAAAGTAGTACATATTTCAAACAAAATAGTTCCTCCGCATAGCTGCATCTTTGTCAATAGGTGAAATATTAGGATAGTTTTGGTATCAAATGAAAGCCTTGGGACTTGGGATCACTGTAGAACTCTCTTTGAAAGTTTTTTTTTAATAATAAAGAAGTATATAAAATTATAATAGAAGGGCACATTTTCCCTGTTGTTCAGATCAGAAGTACCGGTTTTTTTACTATCAAACTTCCGGGAACCAGTACGCTCTAATATGCAATTAAAGGTATGTTGAATTTTTCAGCAGAAGTCAGGATAAGGTATAGTTTTAACATGAAATGACTGCCACTTTATTTGAACTTAAGACAAAGTAGCAATTAATGCTTGAAATTGCAGAATTTAACATAGAAAGCAATGGGGCTATGATTTAGTGGTTTTATACCTTATAAGAGTTAGAAAATATGACCTCAAATATTCATATGACTTCCTTTATTTTCTGAAAAAGGAAAATTGGACAAACAATCCAATACAAAAAAATGTTAAAGGTCATTGAAGGCGTGTGCAGGAAAAATACTTTCTTAAAATGATACATTTATGATCCTCGTCAAGAATATTGGTTGATGTTCCTTTATTCCTTCATGCATAGCCACCACCATTATGGAAAAAATAGAAAATTTGTTACAAATCATGTAAAGAGCAAATTGCTGCAAAACTTTGTTTCAGTGGTACTTCTTTTTAAACAAATGGTTAAAGGCACCCAGTTAAATGAAATTAGGAAGTTTGACCAAATATGAATAACCTAATTTTAACATTATCCACTCTTCAGCATAAATATGTCAAATAAGGCATTCACCCAATAATTATCCTTATACGCCAAGATTTTTTTATGACTCAAAAGACAAATATACTGCAAAACTGAATTAATTTTCCCAGGAAACAATAGAATGTTACTTGTTTTTTTCATTTGTAATTTTCAATGGTGCCAGATGCACTTGACCTATGATAAGTGAGCTGGAAAATCTACAGTATACCCATAGGAAATGGTGATTTTAATATGTGACTGATTTTGGGTAATGGCCGACTTTAGGGAACTGAAGGATATAAAGTACAAACTACTTACAGTGCAACAAAACGTTTGTAAAATTATGGCTAACTATCTTCTTTAGAAATTATGGTTCACTAGAACACACCCGCGACGTCGCGGGTCCGTGACTGAATTAGAGTATCTAATTATGATAAAGCCTTATTTTTAGTCTGGAATTTTAGTAATAATAAAGTCATGTTGATTATAAGAGGCACGGTTTTTCTTTGATTTCAAAATCTTTCTGTTTGAACCCGTCGACCTGGAAATTATTAATTATTTGTAATATTAAATATTTAGAAAACAAAAGGTCTGGAGTGGTGTAATTTGTAATCAACAGCATTGTTCTATATTAGTTATATATAAAGTTGAATTCTTTGATTCGTCGTTTTTTACGTCATGCTGGCTAACAAATTGGAAACTGTACCTACGCCTTATTTTAAGTCTGGATTTTTAGTATTCCTATTGTTACTTATAAAGTCAAACTGATTAAAGTACTACAACCGGAAACAATGTGACAATGATTGAATTTAGTAGTGTCAACCCTATTTAATGACGAAGTTCAGGTGTGATTATGACCCGTGTTTATAGCAAATCTAATATACACCGTTTGGTGGTGCGCTTTATAGGACAGTACGTCGACTGAGCATGCGCGAAGGCGTATAATACACGGATCGATAACGGTCTCCGAATTTGGATATTTTCTCAAAAGTTGGCGTTTTCTGTGGAAAAAAGATTGTTTCAAAGACATATTTAGGAAGTACAAAACACTACATTTATACGTCATATCACAAATATTTCCGACTTTGTATGGTTTCAGAGGAGTTGCGGCTCAATGAAATCGGTCTCTTCCTTTAGTAGTATAGATGACCCGCATCCCTCTTCAGTTGTATTACAGACAGCTACAAAAGCAGTACACTTCCACCTGAGCCATCACTTAGTCTAAATTCTTATTGATTTTAAATTTCAGAAAATTCAGTATTGGGCCAGCTAGTTGCACATTAAGTAAGGCGATTACACAAGTTTAATGGGGTTGAGAGGGGCTGCCATGTTGCCAATAGTCTTAAATGATAGTGAGCAATTCATGTTTTATCAAGCCTCAAATATAGATTTGAGCTCAACAAAATTCTCTTTTCATTCAGACTGTTGATGAGATTGGCAGCGTCCCAGCAAACACGTCAATCAAAGTATTGATTTTAGTGACACCAAAGAATACAAGAAAGAAAAGAAGTTTAATTGCAGCTTCAGTATGTGGAATGGCTGTATTGTATGACTATATATGTGGCAGTAAACAGACAAGAAATCTTGACATAACATTAACACGAGAATATCCTGGCCGACCACCTCTTCCATGTGGTAGAGGTGGTGGTGGGAGAGATGGTGGTGGTGCAGAAGGAGGAGGAGTATCTTGTGAGTATTTTATTACTATCTTAATTATTATTCCTAAGAATGTGTATCTGGGATGTCATCATTCTATAAAAGGATGATGTGATGTAATTTTTTTTCTAAATGTGACGAAAGTTTTAGATCTATTTATGAGAATATATTTATAACTAGTAACTGAAATATTTGATTATTTTTTCATTGTAGATTCTGGGGGATATTCTGGAACAGGATCTGGATCATCAATAACATATAATCCTGTGACACCACTTTCATGTGACTGTGCAGCTACTTTGATTAAAAGTTGTGCTTTGGGTTTTCATCCTATTGCAGGATGTGGGCTAGCTTTATCATCTTTGGCAACATCATTTAGTGTAAGAACATTTTTATGTTTATACCCCCGCTCCGAATTACCTTAATACTTATATATTCTAACATACAATAACCATGTATGAAATTTGTATTGCATCAAGGGAACTACAAATAAGAGCTTCCTGAAATTTGTTATCATGCATCTGGTTGGTTTGGTATACCATGTAATGCGTTTTTAAATGCATCTCTCAACAATTTCCTGTTTACCGTTTTTGACACGGACTTTGTCCTTTCATATCATAGGGGTGAACATCCACCATACACAACTCTGCTTAAACAAGTGAACGGATTGTAATCAAGCTTTTGCTTATTCTTCATGACGTAATGCCATTGTGCATCTTCTATTCTACTTTCTGATCGGAACGATTTCTGAGATTTCATACACAAAATTGGACTTGCCCCTGATGGATTCCAATCAAACTTTCCCGGATTTTTCACGACATAATGCCATTCTGCACTATTTTGGAGTTTCCAATACAAAACATGTACTTTGACCTTTCATAGTATAGAAAGTGAATAGATGTTTTCAATGAATACAATTTTAACAAAAAAAAAGGCATTTCTGAGTTTTAAAGTCACATCTGGTGTACCTTAAACCTTTTATTTTTTCAAGTCATTTCAGCATAACCAATATTATGATACAATTTTGCTAAAAAAATATTTGCGAAATTTACTTTCAGTGTATGAAAACGCACTCTGTGATCAAATAATTGATTTTGATGTCAAAATATGTTTTTGTAACATATCATTCGTGACGAAACAGGCATGTGAAAATAAGGGAAATTGTAGTAAATGATAGATCTTTAATTGTCCCTATTGAATTCATATACACACTTTTCACAGGATTTATAAATTTATATATGATATAAGGATGTACATATGTTATCCTGGATTTGACTGTCTCATTATTCCCAAATTACTTTTAAGTTTAGTTTATTGCCAATCAGATTCAATGGTTGGAAAAAGGAAAAAAGTTATACAGTGTGGTAATGACAAAATCGATCAATTTAAGTCTGTGCATTAATTAATTTGAATGTGGAAATGTAGTATGATAGCCCTTTATACAGACATACACTAGAGACAGAAGGAGGATTTATACAACTTATAGTTTGATTGCAAATATGATATTTGTATATTTTTATAAATGGTACAAGGAAGGTGACAAACATGATTTTGTGTAAAAGTAAAATGTACTATTTCATGAATAAAACATCGTGAAAACTAGAATAATGTCAATATTTAGGTACACGAGTAATTCCTATGTATGATGAAAACTATGTCATAATTCAAGATAACAAAAATTGTATTTTTTGAAAAAGTAAAAAAGAAATGTACAGACCTGATTTGATGTCATCAAAGTTCTGCACACGAATCTTTTACATTAAGTCATTTTCGTAATAGATAAATATATGCTTTGAACGAGTTGATTCAATGTAGTTGAAACTTTACAGTTTCTGTTCAAACGACAGTGACACCTTTCTGAACAGAATAGAACACAGTCGGGACTGTAAAATTTGTTCGGTTTCAACAAGTGTATAAATTTGCTATTTAACCAGAAATAAAACACAACAATATGATAAATCATATTATGATGTAAGGAAATAGCTAATACAAGCATTTACAGTATAAATAAAACTATAACTAGAATAGTTTCGAAAAGAAGTATTCAAAATACAAAACTTGTATTTATTTACAACAAAAACACAATTCCTGACATTCAATAGCACTTGCAACAGACTTTCGTGATTGACGTCTGATCCCGGCCGTTGTAAAAAGTAAAATCACAAAAGTACTGAACTCCGAGGAAAATTCAAAAAGGAAAGTCCCCAATCAAATGGAAAAAATCAAAAAACGAATGGATAACAACTGACATATTCCTGACTTGGTACAGGCATTTTCTTATGTAGAAAATGGTGGTTTAAACCTGGTTTTAAAGCTAGCTAAACCTCTCACTTGTATGACAGTCGCATCAAATGTAAGTGTTTTCATTGCTACCGTTGCCAACTGTTACACCATTGCATTTGGAAGCGTTAGCTGCATTATAACGGTAGCATTTAATAATCAATTTGACATTTCTACATGGTATCAAAGTCCCATTAGGTTGTTAAATTGTCATTTTTATGTTGAGGATCTTTTCTTGGAAGGTTTCAAATTTGGTAATTTTTTGGGATTCAACCATCAACTGTGTGTTGCATTCCAAAAACAAATTTACGGGATTTTTGTTTTCTTATTCGTGCTTTTCATCCGTAAACTACTGTTGCCTTAAGTTTTACAATTGGGAAATATCATTTCGAATTAATGACTTTTAAATGAATGCAACATTTAACTTTTACTAAGAAAACACTTCAATTCATATCAAAAGTCACCTTAGTGCATTCCACATGTTCCATTTCAAAAATTGTTTTCAGATTGGGTAATCAATTTTTAAGTGTGAAACCTGTGTAAACACTTTACATGCATTACTTAAACAGATATTTTGTCATATGTATTGATTGGTTTAGACAGGCTTAATGTCACACATTCAGAATCAGGACTTCAAAAAGAGTTCTTTACTGTTAATAGGGTTTTGTTTACGCATGGTTGATAACAATACATAATATAAATAAGAAGACGTGGTATGAGTGCCAATGAGACAACTCTCCATCCAAGTCACAATGTATCAAAAGAAAACAATTATAGGTCAAAGTACGGCCTTCAACCCGGAGCCTTGGCTTACACCGAATAGCAAGCTATAAAGGGCTTCAAAATAACAAGTGCAAAACAATTCAAACAGGAAAACCAACGGTCTAATTTATATAAAAAACGAGAACACTTATGAACCACACCAACAAACTACAACCACTGAACAACAGGCTCCTAGAGTAGGGCAGGTGCATAAAAATGCAGCTGGTTTAAACGTTTTAACAGGCGCCAACCTTCACCCTAACCTGAGACAATAGTGTAGTATTACAACATAAAAAGACACACTATAAAATATCAATTGAAATGACTTAACTTGTTCAAAAAGACATTTAAACAAAAACAAGTAAACATACACTGAACGAATAAGTTTGATCTATGACACAATATAAATACAATACTAAAACAAAAGATGTAGGAACAGTGTCAAAAAGACAACTCTAACCTGAGACAAATGGCGTTTAGTAAAATAACGTACACAGGTAAATTTAAATATCATAATTTTGTTGTTAGGAGTACGGAACATGGAAATACAGTGGGACTTTGAAATAAGTACAGTTAGCATACAATTAGGGTTGGTTAGACAGTTAGATAGCTTTTGAACACTAGTAAACCAATTTTGATCTGAAACGGCCATTTTGATCTGAAGAGCTCTTAAAAGACTGAATAATACATTACTTTGTCGATTCCAGTCTTTCAGTTAATGTTCAGTACTGTTCAGACACTTCGCTTGGAGTCAGTAAAGACTTAGATTCATTTACTAGTTCATAACATGTTGTTGAATTTGTATTGATTTAACTTTATTTTGCCGAAATATTCCCAGAAATTATTTTGCTTGCTCTTTTAACAGGATGATAGAACTGGAGGAAGTGCACTGATTGGTACACTGAACGCTGGACTTGGACTAATTGATACATTTTTTGGTTGTGTAGCAGGGTTTTTAGGTCCTGCTGGCAGCATTGTCTCAACGCTTTACACAGCTGCTAGGTAATATATTGAAATGTATTGTACATGTTGTAATGGACAAGCCTTTGTTCTCACAAAAACTATTTGTATGAAAAAAGATTTAGAGTAATCTGTTGCCTGAAGATTTATTTTTTTCTCATTTATCTGATTGCAATGTGAACTTTTTAAGTCTTGAAGCAGAAGAAGCTAAAATGAATATTACTATCTCGAGAATATTCATAGTATTTTTTTACAATGTTTATGCTAACACCTTTAAGTTAATAGAATGAAATTTAGGGACATTTAACATTTAACATGCAAAATTGTTTTACAGGGCCAGTATAGTATTTTAAAATTTATGCCATACTTCTCATCTTAACCAATTGTTCTCAAAAGAACAGTTATAATTCTCCATAAATTCTCTTCTGTGTGGTTTATTCCATTTCAGAAATATAATATTGTTTGACTTCTTTGTCATAATGGGTCAAAGTCTGGCAGTAGATTTAATGTCCTAATATGAAAACATTTTATCATTATTCAATATGTTTTGACATTATTCAGATGTCTGGTTGATGTGGCTAATGATTGTGAGAATGGTGGAAGGAGAAGACGTGATGTTAGTAGTGAAGTTGTAAACAATTTGTTAGATGCTGCCAAGCCTGTTGATAATTTTCTGTCTATGATGCAGCAGATTCTTAATGATGAAAACATGTAAATAAAATAATTACATTTTATAGAATTAAGAGATAACCAGGTTTATATACTAAAGATCACAAAAGTATCTACGTACAATGATAGTAGACAGACTGTACATGTACATGTACATGCATTATGTATAATTAATGGAACAATGCTTCGATATTGTTGCTCTCCATCTTGATGATTAATTACTGAAAGGTCAAACATATGGACTGAAAAACCAAAAAAAATATTTTATAAAATTAAAAATAAAGCAAGTCAGGTATGTAGATATGGTCTAACGAATTTCTTGTAATGCTTCGGATATTCAAAGCAACACTTGGATTCAATTTGTTTTTGTAAATAAACCTTATCCAGACGTTTTTTTCATCGTTTTGGAAAACTCTTAATATCTTTTTTGGCCAATGCTGTGACGGATTATTAGATTTTCTCCCATTTAGATTTTTTTCTATTATAAAGCAGATCTACCCCTTTAAGTTAAATGGTTGTTCACTGCATTGTAAGTAGTACTAGTCCTTGCACCTTATGTGTTCCCAAGTTTTCTGGGCTGTCTCGATAAATTGACCTAATACACTTGTGGTTATTCTATTTAGAACTTTTTGATAATAATATAGCTGCATCTTTGGTTTTCTAATCAATTACCTTAGTACCAGAAGATTATTCCAAAAAGCACTTTGAAAGCATACAATTATCTCAAATAATCTGTAAAACCATTATTAACAATTTATTAGTCTAGGAAGAACCTCATTATAATCATTATTTTTCTTTATAGGTATGATGTTGATTCCTCATGGTATGGAACATTTAGAACAGTTGTATCTGATGAAAGCCCATTAGGAGTGCAGCTATCATCAGATGAATTAAGCAATATACTAAGTACGATTAACGACGAAACACAAAAATCTACGTTGAATAAATTCTTAGAAAGATGGAACAACACAGGTACTTTATTTCTGTTTTATTTTAACTAACTTGGAGTCTGTCTTTCATTTACATTTACAAAACTCTTCTCCTTTGAAACTTTAGGACCAATTAGAACCAAACTTGGCCATAATCATCCTTTCGGCACCCACTGTGCAACAAATATGTCCGATGATCCTCCCTACCAACTAACATCATGAACATGGTCGACAAGGCTAAGATTTAGCATATGAATAAAATGCAAGTATAGTCTTTCATCTAAAAACCTATATCGATAGAGAAAATATTACAGGTTCAGACATGTTCAAAATGTCAATATCGATAGACTGTCATTAGGAGTCCAGCTATTATCAGACGAATTAAGCAATATACTAAGTACGATTACCGACGAAACACATGTTTTTGCAGAATACTGGAATAGTAGATTATTTTTATAGATAACAATTGGAGATGGAACCAATTGAAATGGTTTCGGAGAATTTTCAAGACCTTTATTAATTAACTAATTACTTTTGGGGAAGTAAGCCAATTTCGAAGACATCTAATCATGACCAAGGAATATGTTGTCTTCTTTTTTGGTTTGTGGAGAGGACAGACCTGCCTAAACATAACAATAGGAATGGGCAAAGATTTGGCTCTGACATATAAGATTCAAATAGTTTCAAAGTGTTGTTCAGCAAATAACAATGTATATAAATACTTTCCATAAGTGTTTTTGTTATTTTTCATTTAAGCCACAGCATGGAAGGATGGAACATTAAACACACTTGACGGTACTGCTGATGTTATCATCTTAAAGAATCTTAGTTCAAGAATTCAACAATACATTAATGATTTCAAGAGCGCTAAGACAAAGGGATTTGACACAATATTTGATGTTTTCGACCATGCAACAAAAACATACAAAACAGCTGAACAAGAAGCTCAGGTATCAGCATTTTAGTATTTCTGATAACTTATGTATTTGAGTTCAGACAAAATAGTATTTGTTTTAATAATTTATGATTAAGGATTGCAAATATCATGAATATGAAGGAATAAAAAAAAAAATTGTGATTAGTATATAACATCCGCAAACCTTTGGAAAAAGAAAAAAAACTTCTATAACACTGAGCAATTGATTGGAAAAAAGATCAACTTTTCACTCTTGAAACCTTTTTAATCGATAGGCTAGATAAATACTCATTTTTCTAAACTGAGTTCTACTGTGCGTGTTGCTGTTTGTTTGTTTATTCCACATTGGTTAGAGGTGAAGGAGGAGGGTTGAGATCGCACAAAACATGCTTTACCTCGCTGCATTTTTGCGCCTGTCCCAAGTTGGGAACCCCTAGCCTTTGTTTGTCTTGTGTGTTAAATTTTGGTTCACTTGTATGTTTCAGAGTTTAGAGTGGCGTCCATGATGCTGAACTAGTATGCATTATTGTTTAGGGGCAAGCTGAAGCACGGGATGATTTTCTCGTTGCAATGAAGACCCATTGGTGGCCCTAGGCTGTTTTTTGCTCTTTGGTCGTGTTGTTGTCTCCTTGACACATTCCCAGTTTTCATTTTCTATTCGAGATATTTTATTGCATCACAGTAAGGGTTTAATAAGGAACCATTAAATTTAAAAAGTTTAAAGTTTCAACTTCGGTCAATTTCATAGGAGTTTCATAATCCTATCGTCTTTGCTGTTCAAAATTTTGCCTAGCCACTGTTTCTTGCTACGATCAGAAGAACATCAACGGTGTCTTTGATTTATTGGATTAAAAAAAAACTTGAAATAAAATATGTAGTTGGGCAGTCTTGTTAGAACTGAAAAACAACTTCCATATATAGTACTTTTTTTATATATACACCATTACTATCTACATATAATATTTTAGTATCCTTATGCACAACCTACCTTTAATTGTCAAGGTAATTACATTTTCTAAAAAATAGACAAGAATGGAAATGTAAGTGATAATAGGTATGGAACCCCTTCGTTCATTATTTCCAAAATTTTGACCACACTAGAAAAGGTTTGCTTGATAGATGATATATTTATCAATGTAATTTTTAGCATCAGCAATAAGCACAACTTTGTATCATATAGATATTATGATAGGAAAATGTGTTACGACGAAACTAACTGAGTGTAAAGTTTTCAAAACAAACAACGCACTTTATAATTATTTAAACAAAAGCAACACTTACAAACAATCAATTAAATCATGCTGTATACATAAGTCTGTATTTTTATATTAAGCCAAACATGAAGACTGTTGTATTATCATAGTAAGGCAAACTAGACTCACAACTTGATCATCTTATTAATTATACACTCGACAAGCAAACTTTTATGGGGAGTTAAAAGAATCATCCTGTCCATAAGTGTGTGTGTCAATGTGCCTTGTAACTTGATACAGTTGAGGACACTACCTTAGGAAATAACTGAAAGAATATAATCCCGGTCCTGTATGATAAAGATGATCAAAATCTAACTAAGAGACTTCAGTGTTGCTATATGTCGTAATATTCTCTCATAAGCGCAACTCCATCTATATCACTGTACAGATTGATTGATTGTTGGTTGCTTAACGTCCAGTGGCAAATTATCACTGTACAGATATTGATGAAACTTGATATAGAATATATTTTGAGGATGAGCGAAAGGATAACAGTTCTTGTCCGACATGCTTAGGTTAATATAAGCAAAATTATACGACAGGGCATCTTTTTGTGAATTCACTCACTGTTCTGATATATAAACAGTCTCTTCAAGCTACAAAATGATCATTCTTGGAATATTTTACAGAGTGGAAGTAGTGGAGGTTCGAGTGAATCTGTTTGTGCAAAGGTGCGAGTAAGAATTGTCCAGGAATTAGTTCTCACACGTGATGCTTTCAATGCTAGATTGGAGATAGAAAATGGAGAAACTTCTGCATTGGAAAATATAATGGTGGAGATAAAAATTACTCAAACATATGGAAATGGAGAGTCTTCTCAGGATAAGTTTTCCATAGGTGAAGAAATAAACTTAGATGAGTTATCTATTTATCATTTTTATATAATCTTACATTTTAGCATGACCACTTCATCAGCATACGTTTAAGAAAACATATATATCTTGAATCAATATCAAAGGGATTGTATAATATATGAAAGAGATTGAGCTATAATAAGTAAAGATTCGGGCCTTTTCTGCACGTTTATATAGTAAAATATCAGCCACGAGACACAAATGGAACCTTTTTTGTGAGTTAGCGCAGCAAACAAGCAAAAAAGCTTCAAATTGTGAAGAATGGCTGATAGTTAATGATATTTTAACTTTATCACCATTTTAAAGAATATTAAAAATAATTTGTTATGGTGTTTTAGCCTCATCTCAATTTGTCTTGAATTGACAGAGTACTTAAACATTTAATGTTAGAGTTACATGTACTATATTGGTTTTTCCCTTTATTAAGTATTAAAGTAAAGATACCTTTTATCCCACTGCCATTCACGGTTTGTTCTTTTGATCGAATAATAAACAAATTTAGTATTCAATGGAATTTTGTATTTTGTAATAAAATATGAATTTCTTGGGTTTCTCGTTGTTAAATATGGCTTATATATACAATGGTAGTAGACACCATGTATTACAACTTTCCTAAAACAATGTCCTTATTTCACTCTTTTACGTAATCTGTCACATATAAAGCCATGATGCATATTTATCTTGTTCTAAATGTTTTCCCATAATTCAGGGGGTTTTAAAATTGACTTTTTTACTGTGCCTATTCAGAGCCTTCTTCTAAATCACTGTATTTGGATGGCAAGAATATTCTTATTACACTGCACTTGCTTCATACTAGCAACCGTTCAATAGCAATGGGTTAAAACATTTTCAAAGGCTGATCAGATTGGAGAGATGATTACAAACTGCATCTTTGAAATACATTTTGGCCACTTGGTAAAATGAAAGAACAAAGCATTCATAATAAACACATACACAAAGTGAAATAATATACGACCCAGTTAAAGATCTGTAGTTTTTCTATGTTTTGTTTTGTGTACTGTTGTTTGTCTGATGGTCTTTTTCTTTTTTAGCCATGGCGTTGTCAGTTTATTTTTGACTTATGAGTTTGAATGTCCCGTTGGTATCTTTCGCCTCTCTTTTATAATAGGACACTTATCTTTATGTAAATACTTTAAACTGCATTCTATTAAATTATAAGCAATTTCCCAACGAAATATGATGCAATGATGAAATAGGAAAATTTCTGATTGATATTTCTTCAAAGTCGCCATTAGTTTTTGTTTTTTTTGTTTGTTTTTTTTTTTGGGGGGGGGGGGGGGGGAGGGAGAGGGGTTTGTGTTTGTGTTTTTTGTTGTTTTTTGTTTGTTAAGGTTTGCGCAGACTTAACATATTTCATGTATTTCTTTTCCAGGTAAACCGTCTTTGATAGGAATATCTGGTGTAGATGGAAAAGGGATCCTAGGAAAAGATTTGTCAGGGTCAGCTGAATGGTTAATGATTCCATATTCTACAGCAGCACCACAAGAGGATACATTGTATGATGTTGGAGGTCGGTTATCATACAGAGTTGGTGGTTCAAACTTCTCTGTTCCTTTGCTACCAGACACTATAACTGTAAAACCTAATCCTAGTTTGGTGGTGCATTATTTCCATGAAAAATATGTAAGAGGAGATGATCCATTAACAACAGATTTTGCTGAGCCAATTGTTCCATTTAGTTTAGCAGTGTCTGTAATGAATGATGGCTTTGGAACGGCACGGGCTCTGCGCATATCATCTGCTCAGCCAGAAATCATTGAAAATGAAAAAGGTTATGCATCTGCACTAAACACATTTATTTAAAAACCAGTTGTTGGCATGACACGGGTTATGTTCTTCACATATATGTTATGATGGTATGATACTAAACCCCTAACGGGAAGGATTGTGCCTGATATTCATATGATGAAGACATAATCTTTCAATCAGTTTAATTGAAGTCTGGAGCTGGCATGTCAGTTAACTGCTAGTAGTCTGTTGTTATTTATGTATTATTGTCATTTTGTTTATTTTCTTTGGTTACATCTTCTGACATCAGACTCGGACTTCTCTTGAACTGAATTTTAATGTGCGTATTGTTATGCGTTTACTTTTCTACATTGGCTAGAGGTATAGGGGGAGGGTTGAGATCTCATAAACATGTTTAACCCCGCCGCATTTTTGCGCCTGTCCCAAGTCAGGAGCCTCTAGCCTTTGTTAGTCTTGTATTATTTTTAATTTTAGTTTCTTGTGTACAATTTGGAGTTTAGTATGGCGTTCATTATCACTGAACTAGTATATATATTTGTTTAGGGGCCAGCTGAAGGACGCCTCCGGGTGCGGGAATTTCTCGCTGCATTGAAGACCTGTTGGTGGCCTTCTGCTGTTGTCTGTTCTGTGGTCGGGTTGTTGTCTCTTTGACACATTCCCCATTTCCATTCTCAATTTTATTATTGATAACTTTCAAGATTATAGGTGCACAACTTGGAAATGATCAAATTGCTCCATCACTTTCAGTTGATTTTGGAGACATTCGTTCCTTTGAAACAAAAACTGCCCGTTGGCTTTTGACATCAACTCTTAAAGGAACATTCTACAACTATACTGCTACCTTTGAAAACATCAACCCCCTTGGAGATCCACAGTTATCGTTATTGGATGAACTTGAATATCATGAACTTATTCATTTGGTTAGAATGGATACAGAACACTTTATTGATGACTTTGATGATTTTTTGGTGAATGACGTTGTGGACAGTGATGCTATTCCAGATAAACTTTATAACAGTCAGAATGGATCAGATGTATATGACGTGTATACAGGAAAAACTACTCAGTTATACACAAGCTCGTACGTACGATCACAAAACAAAGTCTATACAGTGGTACATCTCAAAGTAACGGCAAACACATCAACATGGACATACATTAGAATGGAGAATAACATTACAAGTTCATATCCTGCTGATAGTCAATATTTGCTACAATGTGAATCAAGTTCAAACAGGAAACTAATAACTGAAAAGAATGTATGGCAGACAACACATATTCTTAATAAGTTCTTCCTTCATATATTTGATTTTATCCCCTCTAATGAAACAGCCGAGAAGGATGTGGAAATTACACATGATATCACTTTTGGACCACGTAACATGTATGCCCCCATATTCAACATGACCAGTTACTCACAGACTGTGCCATTTGATGTTTCGATTGGATCAGTTATATTAACACTATCAGGTTATGACATTGATGACGATCAAACGTCATTTCAGATAGATGATGAAGATATTAAAGCAGTTTTTACCATAGACGAGACACTTGGAAACATCAAAACAAAAGTTCCTCTGAATACAACTGCTGTGTATAAATTTAAGGTGATGATAGTAGATCATGGTATTCCATCAATGTCCTCTATGACAAATATCACTATTAGTGTAACTGACTATACTGTTTCTTCAGTTCCATCTACAGACATTGCAAGCACAGTATCAACACCACTTACTTCAGATAGAACTAGCTCTACTACTAAATATGCAAAGTCATCTTCTGCAGAAGAGACAGTGGGAGGTGAAACAAGTACAGGATCTATTGAAATTTATACATCAGAATCTCAAGCCACGCCTACGATCACTGCAGGATATACTACTGAATCATCTATACCTGCTGGACAGACAAACAACAAATATACCACATCTACTGTTACAGCTAAACCTACCACTGTAAAGCTAAAGGGTACAACTTCGGGAAGCCCAAAAACTGTTACTTTACCTACCTTTTTCTTCATTTTTCTTCATTTCCTTTTTGTTCAAGGGAGACAATAAGCTCATAAATTTACCCGTCTTTTTGGAATTCAAACATAGTACAAAGAGAGGTCATTCTTGTAAACAAATGAAATATCTAAAGAGTGAATTATAACTGCGTTCAAGAATCAATTACTTTTAGTACTGCAATCAAGATTCTAAATTATCAATATAACCAGCATTCGTACATGTAAATGTATAGGATAGTGACTGTTAACGAAAGATAACTCACAATAAGTATATTTATTTTTTTACATTTCTGCTAACCTACACTTCGAAAAAATGTACAAAACATTTGATGTTCATGATCATAACTAACATGTTTTTACATCATATAGTATATTGTATTAACATTATTTGCCTCTAATATTGTCTAAGAAATAATACAGATCATAATCCTTTCATCAACTTACCCAACAAAGATTTATTAAAGCCTGAACATTTTTACATCGTTTATAAACATTTATTACATTGGTAGCATTGAATTACATTGATTTCCCAGTCAAATAAAAACCGATAATTTCACATGTGAAATAAACGTGGTTATTTCACCCTCTGACGTCATACAACAATAGGCGTTGTCAAGACGTCGATAACGTCGGATCAAAACAAATTGTGAGTTCGTAGAAAAAAGATATAGTTCCTTACATTTTCTACATTAATTTCATTGAAAAAAGCCTTTTGCCAATGTAATAAAAAGAATAACTAATCAAAGAATTCAAATATCGAAAAATATTCAACTCGTGACCGAACAACACTGATAATTAACTCATGCGCTACGCGCATTCGTGAATTAATGTGTTGTTCGGTCACTCGTTGAATATTTTTCTCTATTTGAATTCTTCGATTAGTTATTCTATAATTATCCATGCCGGTTTTTAATATTATCACAACTTCCGATTCAGATTTGACTTAGTACCCATATCCCCATATCTTCAGGTAGAATAGTCACTACAGAATTTATTTAAAACGAAGTTAATGTACTAATCAACTATATGTATAAAGTAAAAAAAAATCGTATACGGTAGTGTAATATGTTTGAATGAAATTAATGTTCAAGTTCAAGATATATTTGAATTGTATTTCCTCTTGACATTATGTCTATTGTGACCCTCTTGTGATAGTCGTTCATTTGTAATTAAACATATCCAATCACCTTCTCTGAACTTCTTTACATATTGGTTTATAATAGTGTATGAGTAATGATTTAATTGTCTTTTCTTATGATTCATGGTTTTTGTGCCAATGTGAAATCACAGATACAGGCCATTGCAGTTAAAAAAAATGTCCATTGAATATGTTGAAAATATGGAAATATATAGAAACATCGATAGTTCCTACGTGGACTAGACAGTAACATACACAATGGCAAGGACGGCCACATCAATAGAAATAGTTTAACTAATTAAATTCTGAAAAAACATGTAAACAGACATTTGTAAACAAATTTTTGTCTGAAAAAGTCATTTTGATCTGAACATCATCTTAATTAACATACTATATAATAAAATATTAATTTTACTGTCGACCGCGCGCGGAAGTAGTCAAGAAGACATTATTATTTTTTCAGGGGTTGACAGGATACACGTTATCGTTATAAATTTTAACTTCACGGTTCTTATGCAAGCAAATTTAATAAACAATGATGTTATACAGTTTGGTTTTTTTTTCACCTTACATAGTGCTTTATTTCTGATCTTATGTCTGTGTACACAATTCTAAATCTATCACCTTTATCAATATTAGGAAATCCGATTGGACGATTCCATATATACCAATATGTTTTAGGGGTTTTTAGCTTCAGTGTCGAGTTGGTGTATAGTATTAAGGATTAAGGATTGTCTGCGATAAATAAATCATTTTTCTGATAGATTAACTAAATTCAAAACCAATATAAATATAGTTAACATATATATTTTATTTAACTGAGTAAATTGATCGGAATGTGGATGATACATTGACCTAAAATTCTTTTTGGTCTATCCCAGTCATGACATTTGCGCGGGAATTTCTTCCATTGACATCGTAATTTAATTTACTTTGGATTATTGTTATCTTTAGATGTAATGTGATAGGATTTAATGTGATATTATTTGTCTCTTCTTCTATAGTACATAGTTTTACGTCAGGTTTGTACATATGAAGTCTCTAGTCTAGTCAGATATGAAGTACTCATTCTCAATTTTATCTTGCATATCCCACCCCTTCCCTACGTTACCCTGCTCAGTCGCTCAGTAATTCTCGTATCACTGCTTAGAGACAAAAGTGTCTCTTCTTCTATAGTACATAGCTTGTTGTCAGGTTTGTACACATGAAGTCTCTAGTCTAGTCAGATCTGAAGTATATATGTACTCATTCTCAATTTTATTCTGCATATCCCACCCCTTCCCTACGTCACCCTGCTCAGTCGCTCCGTAATTCTCGTATCACTGCTATGAGACAAAAGCAAGCATTATCAGCAACGTCATAACTCGGGTCATAATGTCTGAGGAGATGAAATCAGCGACGTCACAATTTGTGAGGAGTCGTCATCAAGCTTGCTTTCGTCTAGTGTAAAACTGTCTTAGGGCTAGGCCGAGTTAGGGAGGTGAAAAAGTCAGAAATAGAACGATAAATAGATAATCAGGTTTTCTTAGTATAGATACCTTAAAATATCACCCACTGTCGCTGAGGACACAATTTTATTCATTTTAGCTCATTAGCTGCGCTCATTACATTTATTGTTAAGTCTGTTTTTTTGTTATATCCATTTTACGTGACTCTGTATTTATGTATCCTGTCATACTTTGAACGACAAAATTATTTTATGTCTACCTGTGCGAATTTCAAACGCGCGATTTTACGCTAGTACTTAAAACCTTCTATCCTTTATGGGTGGATTTTACATTGATAAAATCGTATAATATAAGCAAAATGAGGATGTTAAATTTGATGTATGCCTTTTTGTGCTTCTTCGTTACATTTGTTTGTTTTTATAGTGATTAAGATGATAACACAATGTTGACTGCTGTACCCCTATTTTTGACATTTTTACCTATTGTGTCTGTTTGTTTTGTTCACGCATCGTTGTCAATATAATGGAATTTGATGCGACTGTCATACAAGTGAGAGGTTTAGCTAGCTATAAAACCAGGTTAAATCCACCATTTTCTACATGAGAAAATGCCTGTACCAAGTCAGGAATATGACAGTTGTTATCCATTCGTTTGATGTGTTTGTTTTTTTGATTTTGCCATTTGATTGGGGACTTTCCTTTTTTGAATTTTCCTCGGAGTTCAGTATTTTTGTGATTTTACTTTTCTCTCACCAAAAATGTTTATTTGCGGCTCATTGGTTTATAATCAGGTTTTCTTAGTATAGATACCTTAAAATATCACCCACTGTCGCTGAGGACACAATTTTATTCATTCTAGCTCATTAGCTGCGCTCTCTCACCAAAAATGTTTATTGCGGCTCACTGGCTAATATTTTACGATATCAGTGTGTAGAAAAGCTGATAATCTATACATATGTGTGTGGAGTCGTTATCAAACTTGCTTTCGTCTACCGTAAAACTGTCTTAGGCCAAGTTAGGGAGGTGAAAAAGCCAGTAATAAAACGATAAACAGATAATCAGGTTTTCTCCGTAGTCCGTATAGATACCTTTAAATATCACCAATTGAGGACACAATTTGATTCATTTTAGTTCATTAGCTGCGCTCACTCGTCAAAAAGGTTCATTGCGGCTCACTGACTAATATTTGTCGATATCAGTGTGTAGAAAAGCCGATAATCTATACATATATGGTCAGATCATATGTTTTCGTACGTCATACATTTGTCATATGAATTCGTACTATGCATGCCTTTTCAATGGAAATTGTGACGCCACAATGCATTCTTTAGGTGTAATACCACCAAATCATAGTACGTCACATCCGGTTGCATACGAAAATGGGTCGAAAAAAATATTCCTTGAATTTGACAGTTGTAGGTAATTAATCCTACATTTCATTGCAGTAAAATATTTCTGGGTCATAAACATATATCTTGGGTATTTATATTTAAAAGCACCATTTTTTTTTATTTGGGGTTTCTATAGAATATTTTGGAAACTTGAGGTTACATGGTTACTAAAGCTTGTACACAGGTTAATAAAAGGGGAAAATTTGATTGGTTAACTTCCAGTGATGGTTATTTTCTTATATGCAATGAAATGTTATGTGTAATGTTTTCTATAGTACTGGACAGGATAAAAATTTACTCATGCCAAGTATTTCTTTATTTGAAACAAAGATAAATTCTGCACAATTTTTTGAAAAGTGCTAATTTAACAAAGACTAATAGGGGAAAATCAATGGTGGTATTTCACCTAATATGGGAAGCTGTACATGCACCTTTGACCTTGTGAGTACTCTCATGTGTTAAAATTTCTTGCTTTTTAAGTGAAATATTACAAAAAATGAAATATTCTGATTGGATTGAGTCTCCAAAACACATTTTATGAGAAAATTTCCTTGAAATAGGACTTTACCATGAATATTAGTTGACAGAACAAGCCATACTTAGTGTTTTGGGGAGCTTTTTCTCCTTATTTCTTATATTCTGCTATAATAGAAAAATTTTCCTAAGAAATACTTTAATAAATATATAGTTATAAGTAAATGAAATTATTTTTAAAGCAGTAACAACAAATTATTCACTAGAAGAGAAGCTTTTTATGTCCCTCTCTGGAACGCGGCGTAAATTTAAGTTTTACGTAAGGACTTATTGAAACCTCCTTGGAGACTGTAAACTTTTATATTGATAATTCATCCAGCTTGAATACTTCAATTACTCATTTATTATAACATTTCTATCATAAATGAGTGAAAGTTATCCCAAATTTTTTATTTATTGGCCTAAAAAGTTGAAATTTTGAGGAAATGAGAGGCATAAATGGACCAAAACAGACCTTATAAGGAAGACGAAGAGGTCCTTTAGTGGTATTTATCATTCTAAAAGTAATCTTTTGTATCACATTCAACTGTTTGTAGGTAGATGAGATTAATATTTGATCATTTATTGGTCCACACTATATTCTATCATGATGCGGCTTGGTTTAGATCTTTTGAAGAAATTTTGCTCGAATCGCTGTAGATGTCGTCTTACATTATACTAGATTTTTCTCAAACTATTGAACTGATTATGACAAAACTTGACCGGAATGCTTGAAATAACCAGTATTACAAAAAGTCACATTCAGTTTATTGAACAAAAAAGTCTTCTTTAGGTGTAATACCACAAAATCATAGTACGTCACATCCGGTTGTGTACGAAAATAGGTCGAAAAAAATATTCCCTTGAATTTGACAGTTGTAGGTAATCAATCCTACATTTCATTGCAGTAAAACATTTCTGGGTCATAAACATATATCTTGGGTATTTATATTTAAAAGCACCATTATTTTTTTATTTTTCTATAGGATATTTTTGAAACTTGAGGTTACATGGTTACTAAAGCTTGTAAACAGGTTAATAAAAGGGGAAAATTTGATTGGTTAACTTCCAGTGATGGTTATTCTCTTATATGCAATGAAATGTTATGTGAAATATTTTCTATAGTACTGGACAGGATAAAACTTTACTCATGCCAAGTATTTCGTTATTTGAAACAAAGATAAATTCTGCACAATTTTTTGAAAAGTGCAAATTTAACAAAGACTAATAGGGGAAAATCAATGGTGGTATTTCACCTAATATGGTAAGCTGTACATGCACCTTTGACCTTGTGAGTATTACACTTTAATAGCACGAAAACCCAGGAAAAGAGGATATATATACATATGTCAACCAAAATTTTTCAGCGACGTCATAATGTGCGAGGAGACCCTACCAAGTTTGAGTTCATCTAGCGTTAAAACTGTTTTAGGGAGGTGAAAGATACCAGCAATAGAACGATAAACAGATGATCGATATTGTAAAATATCAATGTGTAGAAAAGCCAATGATCTACATGTATACATATATATATGTATACATATATATATATATATATGTGTGTCAACAAAAAAATACAACTGATTTACACCACAACTGTTGAAAAGACCTTTATGTATATATATCTAATCTCATTCTATTCCGTTCAACTGACAGAATCTGTTTATATTTCATGAACTCTTAACAAGAATCCTCATAAACTATTCTTTATACCAATATATGTTAGCCATTTAAGGGTCGTTTGCATTCAAAGTTGAGTTATAGTGGGTTAATTTTGCGAAAAAGAACTCAATTTCCCGATAGTTAACGTTTTCTTTATATTTTGCTATGTCAAAATGACCTAAATATAAAGGACAGTATATAGTCCTAAAAATAGTATATTACGATCTACACATTACATTTTAGCAGGAAAGACTGCCATTGGAGTATATCACCACTGGGTCTTTTTAATTTGATCTCATCCACTAAATTCATTCAAGTAGAACATTTGATGTCGGGTTTGTCCACAATTTAGAATATATTAATACATGTATAGAAATACTGTTGAGTCTGTTCCAAAATGCCTCCACAATTTGGAATATATTAATACATGTATAGATGTACTGTTGAGTTGTTCCCAGATGCCCGAGATACACTTCAATATTTATTATTTATTGAAAATAAGTGAAATCATCTTTTAAAAAAGTTGTTCCTATGGTAATGAATCCCACCCTTTAAACGTTAAAAAGGCTGCATCTGTGGTTTTCCTTTTTTTAAAACCGCAAAATATCCCTCATTTTTTTGGGGGGGTGGGGGGTGGAGGATGTTCCCAACCTGTTTATAAGTGGAATTGTGAATTAGCCAGGCCATTACTCTTCAATTGTATTGATGCATACTTTTCATGTTGGGACAGTTTTCCTCATTTTTGAAGGCTGTATGCATGGTAACTGATGGTTGCCTATAATTGCTATGTCATTTGAACCTCTGTGGATAGTTGTCTCATCATGCTCATTGGAAATCATATATATTACATATTGTAATTTTTATATGTATCCATCCTTTAGAAAAGTTGTTTCAAATGTAATGAATCCCCTCCAGATCCCCCTTTATAAGTTGAAAAGGCTACAGTTTCTTTTTATCTTCTTTAGAACTTTTTTTTTTAGGGGGCGTCCCAACCTGTTGTTTATAAGTTGTAAATCAGGCCATTACTTTTCTCAATTTAATTGTTGCATATTTAACATGTCTGGACTGTTTTTTTTTCTCATTTTTGAAGGCTGTATGGTTTCCTATAATTACTTTGTTATTTGAACCTCTGTGGATAGTTGTCTCATTGGCATATGACATAGACTGATTTTTTTATATGGATTGCAGACCTGAAAAAGATGTTAAAAGTTGAGTATGCTGCAAACTTCAAACAACCTACTACAACTTATTTACCATGAATCTGTTGATCAGAACTATATATAATTGATTTCATCCCAATCTTCATACATGTACCACTATCAATCAACTGAACAAATACAAATAATTATGATGTCATGAAAGGTTTTTTTTTTTAAAAATCTTGAATCTTTATATCAATATAAACTGAATCCCAATATAAACATGTTGGGCTCTTTTACAGCAGAATATACAGATCGGGTTTTTGTTTCATTTTTATACGCCTGTTTATAATGATATACCGTTGTCTGCCTGTCTGTCCGTCCGTTGTCAATATGTCAGACATTAACTTAAAAACGCTCTAATAAAATTGCATAAAACTTTGGTGAATTGTTTGTATCTATTGACGTGAGTTCCGTTTCTTTTTTTTTTTATAAATTTAGATTTTACGTTTCCAAGTTTATTCTTAAAAAAAGGGGTATTTTTCAGTTTTCAGACTATAACTCAAAAATCTTTCAGCAGTTTTCATGAAACATTTGTGAACTGTTTATATCTAGTAACGTAACCTGCTGCCTTTAGAGTTTTATAAATTTTACATTTCCAAGTTATGGGGTTTTATATATTAAACAGGGGGGATTTCCCAGTTTCGGATAATGTTTTCAGCAATTCTCATTAAACGTTGGTGAATTGTTTATATCTATTGATGTAGCTTAAGCTCCCTTTTTGATTTTCATAAATTTCAATCTAATATGACATTGAGAAGTAATTGAACTTTTCTCTTTGTAAATGTGACGAGGGTATCATGCGCTCATGACGCAGCTGTTTATTGAAAGTGATATGCATATGGTTGCCTATAATTTCTTACATCCATTTTATTTGAATTTTAGGGAATTGTTGTTATTTATATAAACAAATCCCACGTCGATATATTACATGTACAACAATCAGACATCAATCCACGCCAACCTGGATGTAATTGAAAGACATCTAGAGGTCAATGTATAGTCTGAAACAAAAGACAAACTAAGGAAAAATATAGCGAATTTTTTAGAAGAATTATTATGAAATGTATACTAGTATAGTAGCAATATTTAAAATATATCGTTTTAGGTTCCACCTACCATTTTAGAAAACTGGGATTTCATAGCGGCTAGTCTATTAGAGGGGTATTTCATTGGTTGTAGATATGGAATCTTATTTTATCATGAACTCAGATTTGAACATCGACTTGAGGAATGAAGGTGGAGTAAAGACCGACTGTCAGTTTTAGTGTTATATATGTATGTCAATTTTACTCTTAGATATGTATACATATATTATTGATTCAGTGGTGATGGTAAATAGACACTGACAAGTCTTAGATAACATTGTATAGTTATGAATGTTTCTTGATCAGTTAACTAAAATCATGAAAATTAGGTGAAGGTAAATTCTTATTTACGACAGAGGGGCACTCAGCCTATATCAATTTGTGCATGAAGCGATTGATAGTTGCTAGGTTCTTAATGCTTTTACCACAAATTTGTGAAAGTTTTAACCGGTAAATACGATAATAAAATTCATGTCTTTTTCAGGACTTCTGATCCAACCATGTAGTATGGTATGTTATTGAGATATGGTTTTGGTCGATAGATGTTCATGAAGGACCTGTAGTACAAAGTATATCACTGGATTGAGCTCTTTGTCTAAGTGTATTATGAAAGTGCTTTGCTTTGAGCTCAGTTCATTGTTATGCAATTCATTCTTTGTGAAATAAAGATTTGACAGACAACTCTCATGTACAAGGAATTGTCAAAGTAGTATCCTTTCTATGTACAATGTAAATAATAGGGAGATAAAAGCATTTTATTTAGATTTGAACCAACAAATTTTTGTCCATTAGCCAAATTTAAAAAAAAACACACAAATTTACCAAACAATGCTACTCGTGCTACTAGCAATATGATGCTAGGTTGTTTTGTTACACTTTATTTTTATACATCTGTACTGCCTACTGACGATTCAGTCCTGAGTGTAAAGGGTCATTCAGTATGTTAAAAATAAAAGGACCAAAATTCATAAGGCCTATCTAGCCTAATTGATTTCTGAAACTATATTTCATTGTACATAAAATTGAGAATGAAAATGGGGAATATGTCAAAGAGACAACAACCCGACTAAAGAGTAGACAACAGCAGACAACAATGTTCAACATTTATCATTCATTTGTTTATTTCTTAATTTGTGTGGATTAACAGTAAATGTTAATTACTACAGTACACTTTCATACCACAACAAAACTGCCTTACTGTATTGGTATTACTTTTTTATATCTACTTTTTAGATCTTTAGACATATTAAGTAGATGTTCATATCCACTTGAAATTTTATCAGATGACTTCAGTAGTAGTTATGAGTCTTTGAAGCATACTCACAAAGGTTCTTTTGTTGATATCATTTTCATATTGGTCAAAACTTTTTTTTGCTTTGACCAACTTTGGAGGAGATATTTTCAAAGAATTAATAAAAAATAACACCGAGGTTTAGTTTCTAGCTTATCTAGCCCCAAGCATCATGTCAGGCATTGTCATTACTAAAAACCATTAAATGTCTTCTAATCTAAGAAAAAATTTCGACATTTAAACGGAATCTTGTACTTATGATACTGCTGATTCACCACAACGTAATATAAATAGAACCATACAAATATTAAGCAAATACATGTTCTCAGATACCATCTCCCATATAAAAAAAATCACATCATGAAAAAATGAACCTATTATGTGTTCCTCTCCTAGCTACAAAATGTATCTAAAATCAAAGATGTGGAACATATTCTATCATAATCATTTGGTAATTAATGCAATTAGTGTCTCTTCCATGCCCGTCTTGAACATAAAAAACTAAATATTAAATAAACAACACTACTAATGCTCAGGCTGGTTGTAATTATGCAACACAGTTAATAATATAGAACCCTATGGGAAAAACATAGAACTTCTTTTGTCATACAAAACACTGTCAAGCATCCAAACATACTTTCCACACTGATCTGTGTCCACACTTGTAGTCTGAGCAATAAATTATTCAGTCATATTCAGCCTTACGTCAATTTTCAGACTTATCAACTGCGGTCATTTCGGTACTGTTCAGACACTTAGCTTGTAGTCATTTCAGTACTGTTCATTAGCTTTTAAGACAATTCTGTATAATGTTGATTTGTTCAGGTAAATACCTACTACTGAACAGTCGGAACATATACAGAACGGATCTTAATGACTGTATTTACTAGTGAGAATGTCTGATTGAAATGATATTATGTGTGACTGGTGGTATGATTTTCTTACGATATATTTGTAATTTTTTAACGAAATGAAATAAATGTTGACTGTCACCACTAAATAAGATATTAGCGCTTAGCCTTACCAGAAGATGATTACATGACAGTCCGTCCTAAAATATTGTATGTTGGTCCTCATTTGAACAGTCATTGTTAGTCTGATATGTTTTTTAAATCTTTTTCTTTGAAATCATTATTTTAGTTTTAAACAAACTTTTGAAGTCATAATGGTACGTATTTTTTCTTTGATTCCTCATATCAGTTCAAATTAAAGTAAAAAATTCAAGGCATGATTGTGAGAAATTATGGCTCATTGGGACTTCCATATGTTGTTTTTAATCATTCTTCCAAAGCTAAAAAATAAAGATAAAAAAAGGCATTTTGAGGAAGTTGTAAATACTCTGGTACATGTATGTAATATACTCTTTTTTAATAAAAACCAAAGATGAAGAACTGGATCTTCCTACTCTGCATTGTATACCTAGATTACATAAGTGTCCTTACAAACAACTTTATTGGTAGGTCTTCTAAGGGCTCCACGAAACCTCTCACTAAATAATTCAAAGTTAAGTGACTATGTTGAACGAAATTATTTTATCGAACTAGAATAAAGGATGTAATAGATACAGCTAATATTAAACAAAAATAAGAAGAAGTGGTATGATTGCCAATGAGACAAGTCTGCCTCATATCTTGACTTACATCTAGAAATTGTCATTGAAGGTCGATTGAGAACAAACCTTTAAGACAAAAGAGATGATTTCAGCTTCCCAATTGTGAACTTTCCATTTCAATGTAGCAACAATCCAGCAGCGCCTGCACATCAAGTATATATCTCCCAGTTGATAGGATATTCCGGAGCTTGCATTTTCTATCATTATTTCTTTAATAGAAAGTTGCTGCTTACAAGGAAGCTGTTGAACTAAGAGTTCCAAGTTGTGAAGTTGACAGCATAAATTCGAAAATGTTACGGACGCCATCACGAGGTGGTGACCATTGTGGAATGTCTGTTTCACAGATGACGACGGATATGTTTCAATTGTCGTAACCACGTGTCGTTTCCCGTCCTCTTTTATTCGAATGTGACCTACCAAATTAAACTTTTCACCGGATTTGTATTTACATGAGCAATAGGATGGGTGTCACATGTGGAGAAGGATCTGCTAACTCTTCCGGTGCACATGAGATTACCCCCAGTTTTTTTTTTTGTGGGGTTCGTTTTGCTGTGTCTTTAATTCCTTATGTTGTGATTTGTGTACTGTGGTTTGTTTTAGACTTATGTGTTTGAATATTCCTATTGGTATCTTTCAACTTTCTTTTAATTCTAATTTGATAGCAGTGTATGTACCAAGAACGAAAAATGTACTATCAGATAGAATATCTTGTTAAAACAAGTCTTTATCTTTGTCACTTCCACTTCCAATTACATTCAAGGGATTTTGCGTGGAGCAAAACGGCTTTCAGGTAACACAAGAAATCAAAAAAATACCCAGTACTCTTACGATTCTAAGAGCAACTGAAAAATGTATTTATCCTGCTGAAGAAGTGCAGAAAATGCAACTGTCTGCAATAGTGATATATCAAGGTTTGTCCACAACATATCTAAATATGATTTGATTTGTCCAGTTTGTTCTTATGATGTACTATTACACAACAGCCCCAGGTTATGCGGTTAAGAACTCACAAATTTGTTCAACTCCGCCACATTTTGAATGTGCCTGTCCCAAGTCAGGAGCCTATAAT